AAGCTCTGGTGGACTTGGTTCTATGGTAGGTCTTAAAGGGTTAATAAACCGCGTAATACACCTGATAATATACTGTTCCCGAGAATACTTACGGAGGAGTATCCCTTGCCGAAGCTTCCTCTGTTCTTGGTCCTAATCTTGGTGAGCGCTGATTCAGCAATGTCCGCCCTCTCTTCGGCATCATCCAGCTCGTGCACGGTCTTCCTGTACTTTGCCAGGTTCATGTTAGCTTGTTCCTCCTGAAGTGACAGCAGTGTGAGTTATTTTAAAAAGCCCACAAACACCATGCTTGGAAACGTGTTCAGAGTAAGAGGATGAGGTGACGTACGGCCTCCTCTACTTGTCTCTTGTAGGCCTTCATCTTGTTTTGCAGCCTCTCCACCAGCTCCTGCATCCTCTGCTGGTTCTTCTGGTCCTCCTCCGACTGGAACAGCAGTTCCTTCAGCCGACGCTCGTTCTTCCGCAGCGTCTTCACTGTCTCAGCGTGCCGCTTTTGTTCAGAGTCCAGCTCCAGCTCCAGCTCCTTCACCTGCATGCAAAGAGTATCTACTATTGTGTGCAGGAAGGCTTCATATTTATCCACTGAGTGTTTAGTGAAGACACACTCTGTTACAATTTGCTGTTTGTCAAAAGTTCCATAAAAGCAGAAATGTACTGCAGGCCAGACAACCAATACTCAATAACATACAGCTCATAACTTTGTTATGTCATATTTCTGCATATGCCAGTGTGCTACATGCAAAGGCACGTGCAAATGGCTAGCATGTAAATATAAATCCTTAATCCTCTAATTAGTTTTTATATCATTTTATTATATTGTAAAAATAAAGAATGGTTTAGAAACATCACTTTTAGGAGGATTTTCTTGCAGGTCTGACTTTTTATGTACTTCAGGGTAACGGTTCAAATAAGTTCCAGGAGGCAGCATTTTCATGAAGCCTGCCCTGTAGCAAGATTTTCTTCTGGAAGGAATTTAAACTACAGCAGTATTGATTATTAATCGACTTTACACATTGAATTACTTTATAAGTATAACAGGTAAGTACTTCTTCTGTGCAGACACTTATAGCAGGGATACTCGTGACCACACTAGCTAAAGTAACTGCACATATCCCAGAGCAGTTGCTTCACAGCTCCAACATTGTGAGGCTAAAAAGAAGCGAATCAGTTCAGGCATTCTGACATGTTTGTGTGTACCTTTCCCTCCAGCTTCTGGATGATCTTCTTTCCTCCTTTCAGAGCCATCTGCTCAGCTTCCTCCAGTCTGCTGCTCATCTCTTTGATCTGGGCTTCCAGTCCTTTCTTCACTCTCTCCAGGTGGAGCGTGTGCTCCTGCTCTAGACGCAGCTCCTCCCCAACTCGTGCAAGCTGACAGAACAGAACATCCGTTTCCAGCGTTACCGACCTCGTCTGTATTAATCTGCTGCGTGCTTCGACATGGAGTCATCTCATGTGTTTTACCTCACAGGTGGCCTTCTTAGCTTTGTCTGTGCATCCTCTCATCTCGGCCTGGAGCTCCTCGTGCTCCTGCTGCACAGTCTGGAGATCCACCTCCAGCTTCCTCCTCCCGCTGAGAGCCGACTGGAACTGGACACACATCAGGAAGTCTGTGAGTGTATGTGGGTCCGGTTAGAATGAGTGAAACAGAAGCAGAGGCACTGTGTAATACCTGGTTGTTGAGATCGCCGTATTTCTCCCCGGACTCTTGCAGTTCTATCTCCAGAGCCTTTCGGGCCCTCTCGGCGCTCTCCAGGGCCGCGTGGGTCCCCTCACCCTCGCTGATCAGCAGAGAGCAGCGTCGCTCCATGGCCACCTGCTCCTCCCTGCACTCCTCGTGGCTCCTCGCTTCCTCCTCCAGCTGAGCCTGCAGCTCCTGTGACAGACACTTGCTCTGTGAGCAGGGTGGTGTAGAAAACACTTCCTGTACTTGCCGAATGTTGTGAGCAGACCTTGATCTGTTGCTGCATCTTCTTGCTGTTCTTGCTGAGCTCTGTGTTGCTCTTGGTGAGCAAGTCCACCTGCAGTTCCAGCTCATTGATGTCAGCCTCCAGTTTCTTCTTCAGTTTCAGTGCCTCCGACTTCCCTTTCACCTCTACATCCAGACTGGCCTGCAGGGATTCTAGCGCCCTCTGGTGGCTTTTTCTAACGTTGGGCATGAGGGAACAAGATGAAAAACATTGTCTTA